AACTTGTTTATATTTTAAATTGATGATGTAATTTTCTAATAATTTGTACTAAACATAGAATATGATGGTGATTCCATTTAATACATTTTTAATTATTATTCCAAGATTTTTTACTTTATCTGTTTGGTTAATATTGGTACTATTACAGGGTTCTAAACCCATCTTACAATTATAAGAATGAGCACAGATGTATTGACTTTATCATATTTGTTCAGTGTTTACTATTGCTTATTATCATTTCAACACTCAAAAATCGTATATTTCTATTTCTAATAGTTCTAACAAAATTAAACCAACTTCTTGTTATGTGTGTACTGCGAGTGTACTATATATCATACACTGTATAAAAATAAAAATAAAGTGATTATAAAAGTAACTTTTTCCCAAAAAGGTTTTTGTGTAATACCGTTTTCCACCACTCCACAAGTGTGATTAATGAAAAATGTGCGGTAGGTACCCAAGAATTTTTAGGGGAAAAAAGTAAAAACAACATTGTGTTTACACTTTTACAGCAAACATATTCCTTTTTTGATGGGTCATCATAAAAATGATTGATGTGTCATGATGATTTTATAATCACAGTGTTTCATTTGTGAGAACCGTACAATCTAAAACAAAATAGGTCACCATAAATAAAGTGATTTTACTGATTTTACAATTTTATTCGAAAGTTGAATCGCGAACAACCCTGTCTGGATGTATTTTGTTAAATAAAACCTATGGTATTGTTGTTTTGGAACACAGCCAATATCTTGAAAATAAATTTGATAAAGAGCCTAGGCCATATGAAACTTGATTTTAAGTTGTTTAATATTCGAATCCAAAATATCGTTGGCTTTAGTCCGAATAAATGTAATGTTTAAAATGTTTCCTTCATATTTCAAAAAGTGTTGTGATTTATAAATACAAAACTATTGAATATCGCGAGTTTCCATCACATCAACTTTGTTGTTTTTGAAATAATTTTCAGACTTAACTCATATTATGAATACTATTTTTTAATTATTCATATGCGTTTTGAAAAATGGTTTCATAATTCTATAATTTAAATTAATTTATAGGTTTATAATATTCTCGTGTATTTAATTTAATTCAGAAAAATTCAAAAGAAATTAACATTACATATAAGCAGAGTTGTATTTAGATTTTTACTGACCCCGTGGATCATTGATATCATTTAAAATTCTGCTGCCGATTGAGCTCTTATTTATAATAAAATGCACGACAGCAAATTTAAGAAGTATGAAAAATATTATGCTAAAAACAATTTTAAACCATCAATATTTTGTTTTAAATGTAAACTGAAGACACGATTGTTACCATTGTTCCATATAAAACAAAAAATGACTAGATGAAATTTTGCTGGTCCAATAAAAATGTTAGGCCCCTTCAAAAATATTCTCTCGGGCACTTGGGATAACGGTCTAGGTCTATAGTAGTATCTAAGTAATAATTTAAACATTGATTTTTAAAAATAAAATAATTTAATATAATGAAAACATTTTTATGATAACGAAATTTCTTTTTCAAATAGTTTGAATATATTAAAAATGTATAGTAGTTCTATGCATTTATAATTCATATAAATTACCTTAAGTGTTATTTGTATATTGCATGCATACTTCAACTTAAAGCACACAACTTGATGTATTTAAACTTTAAATACTATAGAGAATAATATTTTTTAATTGAACGATTATGTTGGAATATATTTTTATTATTGAAGAAATAAAACATCAACGGTCAACATTGTCAAATGGTGTTGGATGACAGTTATTGGGATTTTCTTTAATATTTATTTACGTAGTTATTTATTCTTACAATACATCACCTAAATATGAATAATACATTCATTCTTTGGAATATTGTTATTTTATAACCTAATTTGTACATAAATAAACTTTAATAAATTGAATAATTTTAAAAACAATAGGTAATATCTAGCGTTAAAATAAATATGATGGTATATATAAGCATATCTTTTAATTGGTCCCACTAATTAACCCCAAAACAGTAAAGTTAATTTTCTCAGTGTCTTTATAGAAAAAAAAATACACGAAATAAATAAAAATAAAAATGTACACATATAATACGTATATATGTTTTGAGTTGAGTAAAATTACTCGTCACATAGCAAGCGTTTATAATGCAAGCTTTTCGTAGAGTACGGTGTACCTTATGAACCCTACACTTTATATAAATTTGCACCTACATAAAAATTTAATTATATAACACATACAATCGCATTTTATTTTTTGAATTTTTGCAAGTGTCTTGTGAATAGTAATCTCTCACAAATTCTGTCCACATTGATTTCACGATAGTATATAATTCTTTTATAATCCCCAGTTAATATTGTTCGGGTTAGTAAAATGTATTGATAAACATCGTATGAGGCTAAAATATATAAATAATTTATTTACCTATATTTAACCATATATTTTAACACCGTCCTATATATTTATTATTTATGCGAACATATAGAACTAAACTAATTTAATTTCTGTTTTCAGGTTTTTCACTTATGCCATTACAATGGATTCAGAGAGACGTTCGTTTGTCCACATGGAACCCGTTATAATCCATCGTTACAGGAATGTAGACTTTGGTACTTAACTCCCTGTTTGGATATACGTAGGCCTTATTAAGTCAATTGTCAATATGAAAATAATTCATTATAATTGTTTTCAACTTTAACTGTCATAGAAGTCTGCGAATAATATTCCTGAATGCATCCATTGTATCACATAATATTATTTTACAAGGACAATTAATTGAACACGTATTATTTAATTCAAACAAAAATACATCTAATTATGTGTCAGATACCACGAATTGTCTAACAAACAGTAAAACAACTTGCGATCAGTTGTTTGTGTGTTATTGATTACAAATTATATTAATATTATGATATAATTTATACTTGAAAATACAAAAGTATTTTTTGTTTATACTATTTTAGTTTATGAAAAACAAAATATTTATTTATAGCTGTGTTAGTGTGTTACATAAATGAATCAAAATAAAATTATACAATAAATATTTGATTATTAATTTACTAGTACTTACTCGTAAATACAGATAGAAAGCATAATGATAATAACTCTATCAAAATATTATACAAGTAAAAGAAAAATAGTCCATATTATATTTTATCTATACACATTACACATAGGATATAGAAATATTAACCTACATTAAATCGGCAATTAGTATGAAATATTCTTTCAGTACCTAATGCTAACATGTACAATTGATAATATTGTAAGTTATTCTCATATTATGTAAGTAGGTTTTACCAAAAAGAAAATTAAATGGTTCATCGGCGATTATTGCTTGATGCTTATAAACTTGTTAGTATTTAAATAGCTATAAGATATATGTGTTAATTTTAGACTTAGAAAAGTATATTTAAATTCATACTTATTAAGTTGCTCTCTATCAAAAGTAAATCAACTATCATAATTAAATCTTTAACCGTTTGACGCATAATGGACAAAGTATTTAATATATAAATTATAGTTGTACATGGTTTAGATGTAAGTCAATGCATTAATTTATTGTATGCATTGTCATACATTAAAAAATATTATAATAATAAGAGACAATAGTACCTACATACAATTTAACTGCAATGGATATATGTTGTACTAGTTGTACAAACCATTATTATAATATTGTTATAGTATAATAGTTTAAGCTACTAAACTATTAAGTTTATCTAAAGCCAAAAGTGATTTTTTTGTCCAGAAAATTGGTAAATTGTAAACATTTACAAAATATATTCAGTTATGAATCATAATTTTCAAGATATAGATGGTAAGTCATTAAACTTTCATTCGTATATTAATAATTCTCTGCACGTATACCTACAATAAAATATCAATTTTAAATTCCAAATAAGTATTGATTATGATTAGGTTAAGCTCTACATTTTTCAATGGAAATTTAAGTCTATATTTATGTACCCATATGGCTATATTATAGTTTAAGAAATGTGAGTACATGGTTTGGTGTATCTCGGACCTACACATTTTTATACGTCTATGAAAAAATAAACATAAAATACAGAAATACACAGCGGAAAAACTACTACATTTAAATTTATTAAAAATCAAATATGTAAAAAAAAAAATTAAAAGTAACATTGCTTTATAGTTTATTTTGAGTGTTTCTCGGAATTGACTAGGTCACTCTAATATATGTGTTGCACATTTGAATTTATTTTTATTTTGATCAGTGCATAAGGAAAACTATTCAAAGCTAAGTCGGTGTGTAAACCGCTATTACTGAGAATATTTTATACTTTATTTATATTACTATTGGTAATGCGGTACATAAGTTGAACTAATCTTTGTATGAATTCTAAAATAAGTATAAAAATGTTATCCATCATAAATTATTGTTATTAAGTTACAAATAATTTCTGGTCAGATGGCACTGCTGGGAGCCTTCCTATTAATGTTATTATGTCAACAAACTTACTCATTAAACTTTTGTCTCGTATAGATTGTAAATATATTTTTAAATAAAAAAAAAAAATTTACAAATAAATATCGACATTCAACATAAAGACACGAAAAACGGTGTAAAGAAGTTTCTGGAAAATTAGTAGCTGTAGGTATGTATAATAGTTATTTAATAGTTGAAAATTATTCTAAAAGAAAGAAAATCAGTGTGATACTAAATAATAAAATATATGATACTCAATAGTCCCTAAGACTGATATGAATATCCCTTTTTAATAACAATAAAATAATAAAAAAGGTTTGGGGAGAAATCGTTATTTGATGTTTGAAAATCTATCCAATGTTATCAACATTTCAAATTTAAATGCTCATAAAAAATTAATGTGGCTTCTCACTAATTTTTTTTAGTAAGCACCACTTATGAGAGATCTTTTATTAAATTTTTAACCATTAAGTATGAAAAAAAACATTTGTGGATTTTAAACTACAAAATAATTCACTATTTTGACGATTTTCGTCCAAATTCTTACTTAAACACTCATAAATAATTAACGTGTATTTAAGGGAAACTTTTTTTCTTAAATCCATTAAAAACAAAGTATAAGGTCTTTGACAGAAAACAAAAATGTTATCAACAAAAATTCAATAAATTAAAACAGTCAACAAATTCAAATGTCTGTGAGTTGTAAAAATAGCCAAACCATTTTGAAAATAATATGATAATATACGTACCTACATTAAAATATAACAATCATCACATGATATAAATAATTTTGTATCCAATATACTACCAGAAGCCACCCTCAATATTGAATATTGAACCATAGTTATTCTTAACGTTAACACACTCATTTTGTAAAACCAATATAATATCTACATTCATTGCTCCACTTAAAATCTAAAATGTTGATGTCCATCGAATATCGGGACAAAAATATAATGTGCACTGGCTTCAAAGACAATTAATAACTAATTATTAATGTACCGACGGTGGACGCGATCGATTATAATATTTGAATGACTCGAAGTTGACCGGAAAAACAAGTTACAGATCTCAGCCGTTAGTAAATTCTTCACAAGAAGAAAAGAATAAAATTAGTGTCGAATAAATGATTTACCCACTATAGGTATTTGACTTACATTCTAAAATAATGACTTTGCGTGGGCGATATAAATACTGCCGAACATGATTTATGTCGGCCGTCGAGATGATATTTCATAGAACTCTTGACAAAAGAAATGTGTCGTACTCGGAAAATCAATAAATCCAATAAAGTAATAATCGAACTGTTATTTGAAAGTTTGTTTTGAAAAAGTACACTGAGGCCAAATACCTGATAATAATACTGATGCTGGTAATTTGGTGAAGCATTATTATTATTGCCACTATATAAACGATGTTTCGATTGTAAACTCCTTATCTCGACGTTCGAGTCAACTCGACGATTAGATGAAGAACTTAGGACTAACAGTTGTTGCACTAATAGTAGCTACGGGTTACAATAATGTGGAGAACAACAAATGAGACATAATCAGGTATAGCAGTGGATTTAAGAAATAATCGTCTTTACACTAGATAGTTCTAGTCCATATACGTATGGCTTATTGGAAAGAGATATTATGAGGATTACAAAATATGGTTTCCGATTCTAGTGCTGACTGAATTAAACATTAAGGATAATAGGACATAGATTAGAGATTAGACTTATGAAACTTTCGTTTAATTATAAATCAAAAACTATTTATTATGTTCAACAAAGTCATGAAATTCATCGTGAATCTTACACTATATAAAAACAATATGAGAATGCAATTTTATTTTAGTGTTTGATCAAAAATAATATAACAACAATGTCGTATAAAGCGAAAAGCCAAATTATATTAGTTATATGAGTAAATGTATTAAATGATTGAGCATAAAAAAATATTGAAATCAATTGGCACTTTTTCTTCTTCAAAATATCTAATGAAATTAGAATGGCAAGATGTAAAGTGCGCAATAAAAATATGGGCGTTGTAGCTGAAAATAATGACGGCAAAGAGGTTGACAACCAAAACAAAAAGGATACCTAGGCTAACATACAACGGTGTAGTAATATAGAATATAACTGACATCAAAGTATTTTTACACAAGACTGGTTTTCGGCCAAATCGATTTTCATTTTTACTGTTTTTAATACAATTCTTTAACAAATGACCATAGATTTACATGGAAATGTCACTGAATGTTTACATTAGAATTGTCTACACACCATAAGATTTTCAAAATATTTTGACTTGTTATGAGCTGTCTACGGACATTTTCCGTTTTCAATTTTTTTTAGTTTTTTTTCTGTAAATGTCAATAAAATTGTATTCGTTCGGTCTGAAGGTTTAAAAATTAATACAAGGTTTCTCACACATTGCCACAGTATCAATTTAAAAATATTAAAAATAAATAAGCAAGATTTTTTTTATAAGCATTTGAAGTTCGACAAAGTTCCTCAAACTAAAAATTAACTAATTATTTTATAGTTAAAAATGTATTAAACGTTTTATTTTTATTGCTACATTCTGGAACCAAAAAATCTAAGAAATATATTAACACAGTTATATTGTATGTCCAAATTTGGACGAATTACGTATTAAAATCTAGAATAACTTATTTTGTTGTAATTTACAAATATTTTTCTCGGGTACTTTAAACTTTCAGAGTAAGTATATTTTTATATTTTGTACACAATGACATTTTCAAATACAATTTTTCTAAAAAAGTGAGTTTGACCTACTATATATAGTATACTAAAATAAATCACAATAATATCATAAAATATACCTAGCTTGTAATATTATACTCTGACAGACCGTCAGCGTTCAGAATTGTTTTTCGTATACAATGATTTTATATCATTGAATTCAAATTTTACACATAAAATACAGTGACTCTCTGAACACCTAATGTACAGTAGAGTGACATCACTCACTCGCTTTTTTCATTTTTAAATATTTTGAGAGAAAGATTTTCCATTCAAATACACGACTTATTCAAAATAATTAAAATTAAAAGTGCACTAAAATAATTTATGACAGTAAACCCTGTAAGAAGAGCCAAATAGAGTGCGTTATATATTTTATAATAATAAGTATGTCTATTGTTTCAATATAGTTGATTAAATGGTTTATATGTTTTTATTGTGATCAAATATGTCTGAAGAAATGTTCAAATAAATTTGAATTGAAATCAAATAATCCTTTGCGAGGTACGGAGGATATCTATTAATATATCTAAAACCTTATAACCCTCGCAGAGTTGGTTTCTCGGTATCGTTCCAGTTAGCAAATAGGACTTTTCTTCTACTATTACCTTAGTTGCACTGCACTTGTAGCTCTGTATACATAATTAATAAACAAAGTTTGACACTTCAAACTAACTCAATTTGTAATTTGTTACGAAAACCGTATAATGTTTGCTTTAATAATATGTTTCCTTTATTAACATATATATTATATTTATTACATAGAACTCCAAGTTCAACTCCATGCACATAGTGAACTTGAATTTTAGTAATCATTATGAAAGAAATTTACTCAAAATAAACCAATGAA